GCAAGAGGGATTAGAGGACAAAATATTGAATGTCTTATGATGAGGTTCTTTTGAAATCCTTGGTGTGGAAAATCTGAGGATGACCTGCACCAGAGGGAAAGTAATTACAGTTTTCTAGTAGCAGCTGGGATATTTACAGGAAGGTCTTTCATTGCAGGCACTGTTCCAAAGGCTGTTTATAAGCTTGAAATTAAATAGTTGCTGAATAAAAATGCAAAGTAATTCCTGAAGTAATCTTGGGCTCCAGGCCTTGCTCCAGAGACTGAAAGCTCTTCAACCACTAGGTTAGAACCATACATCCTTTATTCAAACCAAGCTTTATTGTCACAGTAAATCCGAAGTAGAAGAGCTTTAGCAGGCAGAGCTAACAGCTCCACCTTGGGAAACCCCAGTTTCCCAAAGAGTCTGTTCCTGTTCTGATACACTGCACTGGTACAAGGGTGGGGGAGATTCCTGCCAGCCACACGAGGTACAGTGAGCAGCCCCCTCCTATGGAATTCCCTAGCAGGAAAGCCACAGCACGAGCCTTGTGGCAGCCCTGGGGGATTCACACGCAGCAGGTGCTACAGATGTCCCTGGGCAAAGGGGCTCCAGCTGCGCTGGCAGCTGCTGGTCCTGCCAAGAGCTCTGGGATGCTGCAAGCACCCACCGCTGACCCAGCTGTATCCTGTGTTAACCTGGGAAAGAGAAGCTGCAAAGACAGGTAGAAGCCAACTTTTCTACAACCCTCGTGCCCCGGGCTAAGCTCGTCTCTGATTTGGGTACCTGGCTTACACGGGTGCCAGGCTGCTGTAGGTCATGGCACTAGTTATTTTCGACAAGATCAACATGAAACTGGGAGGGGAGAAGTGGAAGAGTTCTGAAGAAATAGAGACCTCTTCCCTCTCAGGACAGGATTTGTGCTCTAGAGCTTTCTCAGACTCTTCAGCATGAGCTCAGTCCTTGCAGATATCTGACAAACTCCTGCCATTAAAGTTTAGAGTAAGCAGAGGTGATGTGTGACACGTTAAATGTTGCTAATGAGCATCAGGTGTTTGCAGGGAAAAATGGCTCCTCGTCTTAGATATGGTAATTATTTAAAAGATCTATTTAGCATTTAGATTGCTTGGGGGGGAAAAGAGCTTGGAAAAGTTGATTGCCTTGAAAAATGCTCCGGTACCAAGTGGCTCTCTTTGAACATTGCTTTCATCTCCTCAGAAAGAAAGCAGAGGAGACACTTCATCTTGGGGCAATTAGAGGGACTTTGACATCATTGTCCTTGTAAACAGCGTTACAACAGGCAGCCTCCAGTTAAAGAACCGTTTAGGAGAGATAAAATTGAGAGATTGAACAATCTGCACTGAAGCTCTGAGAGGAGCTGGGAAAGTACCAGCTTGAACATTCCCACCGTAATTCCACCCCACGCAGAAGACCCTTTGGTACATTTTTAGACTTTTCCACACCTGTTGCATTTATTTATATATATTTATATATAAGTATATATATTTTTATATATATATATATATATATATATAAGAATTAAATATTCTCCATTTTCATCAACAGGCTGCCACATCATCAGCTCTCACACGCTGAGTGATTTAGCCTAAACAAACCTCAGACCTACTTCAGCACTTCCCTGTCTATTGCTTTTCTGCTTGCCACAACACTGGGAACAACACTGCATGTCTTCAGCAGGGGTGAAATGCCAGCCATCGCCTTCAAAACACACCAGCATTGACATGATTTCTGGCTTGCTCTCATTATATGTTGGGAGGACTGGGAAACAAGGTGTTTTGGTGGGTAAAAAATTCACACAAACTTTGGTGAACTATAAAATATGTCATCTCTTCAAATAAACTGTTCTCTGTACTTTGTATGCAGGTGTCCCTCTTTGAAACGCTGTGGGCACTTCCAAACTACAGCTTTGCTGCAGGGCCAGTTCTGTACCCAGCTGCTGGAGGGAAGCCAAGAGCAGAGAGCAGCAGGTCCACAGTGCAGAACTACACAACCACCAGGAGACCCCATGGCAGCCCCAAGGGGCAATGACAAGAAATGCCAAGGCAGGAGGTGAAAAGGGACCTCAAAAGCTGGGATGAAGCCTGGAATGCTCACAATCACTATGCTCACAAGGAGCTCAGGCTGCTTGAGAAGGGCACACTGAAATCCACCCATCAGCTGAGACTGGGATGGGGAAAGGCAAAGCAGCCCTGAGCTCTTGAACAAAAAATTCAGGGAGAAGAGCCATTGGGAAAAGAAAGTAGACAGACCTGGAAGTGCAGAGGGATTCATGGGTGGCCTTTTGGGTCAGTGAACCCATTTTGTTCATTTCAGGCTCATGAATTTGTGCCTCCCCCAGGCACTGGCCAGCTCATCAGCCAGCACACTGCTGCTGTTACTGCCAAGCTCAGCTCTGCTGCAGGCAATGGTAACTGTACTAGTTTCCATGGAAATCGAAGAGAGAGAAGCTGGTTTCCACCAAAATCACATTCAAAACACAATTTTGTCCCAAGTGGATTATTTTGTTATCTTTGCTCTCATTCTTGTTTTTTCCTACCATGCAGTACAGATGAAACTGAATTTATTTTAACAACTCAGATTTGTAAAGCACAGTTTCATCAATAAGTCAAGCAGAAGTTGCTATTTCCATTCAGATGGGATGTTTGAAAATAAGGCAAGTCTGAACACTTCACCAGTGTCATTTTCAGCACAGAAATACTACCTTGTTCTGGCCTGGTTTTAATTACTGGTCAGTCACTGGTGAGATTTAAGCAGTATTTCTCAAACAGATGCAGATCAGTCAAAAAACCAAAAGGTTGTTCACTTCCCTCATGTCCCCAGGCTTCCCTTGCCCAGTGGCTCTTTTGCAACATGCTGCAGCAAAGAAACATTTTTTAACGCAGCTCTAGACTATATCACAGCTGTTTGCAAAACACCTTACAGAAACAGAGCCCTAAAATGGGGATGGCTGCTACTTTGCACCCCAGCTGGGAGAGTGATGGAAAGGCAATGCCTCCTGTCCACACATGGGCACAGAGTTCTCCACTGGAGAAGCAGAGCCAGAAGCCCAGCATGCTGCAAATATCCTGTTTATTTTCATAGGGCACTGTACTGCTGAGTTTTTGCCACTATAGAAGCAAAACAAAGACATTGAAAACAAGTTTTGTTTCAGGTAGATCTAAACATCTAATTTCAATATTTGCAGTTCTCCAGGACTTATCTGCTGCTGTTTAAAGTTCTCACAAGTCATGATGAAGGAATGCATCTTAGGCCCCCTAAAAGGGAGGGATACAGGAGCTTTTCAGCCTCTGTCTGAACGCTCACCAAGCAGTGGAGACTAAGAGAAAAAATGCAGGGAATATGTTAGGATGCTTGCCCGAGGGAACAGCAGCAGTCGGGTTTCCAGACGCTTCTGAACTTAGAATGTACTTCCAAAATGCTGAAGAAGTCCAGTTAGAGGACTAGAGATATCCCCTTCCACACACCCTGCAGCTCAACAGCAGAGGGTCTTGAGAATTAAGAGATGTTCCCATAAGGGCTCTGTATCAAGCAAATACCTTTCAACAAAGGTATTGCAGAAAAAGATGGACCCTTAGCACCTAGATTTGTTACTGAATGCAGCCTGGAGAATACCTCTATTTCGAAGAAAACAATCTGCTTTGTAAGCTCTCAAATAAAGTATTTGAGTATTTTAAAAAAACAAAACAAAAAACAACAACAAATCCAAACAACACTTGATTTTCCTTTTTTACTAAAATCATCTCCTGCATTTGACCCAGCTGTATGACTGCTGTGGACATGGTGTTTCTAGGTTTTCAGCCTCCAGCAGAGAAATTACTCCCCTATAATTCTTCCCACATGATGTTCTAGTCTCTTTTGAGGCACCTGTTTCTACTCCAAACTCTTCTCTCTGTGTCAGACCACTGCATGTCTGACCCTATCCTCCTCAGAGGGTAACCCACCCCTCACCCATTTCTCCTTCCCTCCCAACCCCCCCAGTCTGGCTCTTCAGAAGATCAAAACCCTATCATTTTCCTAGGCAGGACTAAAGAAGTCTCCCCAGCCATCATTACAGCCTGGGAACCTCCTGGTTTCTAGGGCACTTTGGTGGTCATCACTCAGGGGGTGCAAGGCAGGGCTCCAGGGACACAGCCCAAATATGTCCTGCTACAAGAGCAGCACTAGAGAGAAAGCCCCAACTCTTCTCCTTTTTATTGAGTTCCCACTAAACATCAGCATGGGTAAGCAGTGGTTCCCCCCACACCAGCTGATTTCCAGCATATCTTCACCCTCCTTCGTCAGACAGATGTTCTGGCACAGCTGCTTTCTGTACAGTCAGACCCAGCTGATCCTAATTTGAAATAGCCTCTGCCAGGTGAATTGGCAGGCTGTTAAGCCCTAATTTTAAACTCAAAGTCTCCAAATTGGCTGGCTAGACTTTCTTTTCTCTCTCATTTTTTTCTTCTACCTCTTTTTCTTTTTGCCTTCTCTTTTTGTTTTAAATAATATGAGGTTAGAAAAGCTTACCAGCCTCCTTGGGGAGTCACAACATTTGAAGTCAGCAATGCACACGCTAGGAAACATCTGTGGGTGGTGATGCTTCTTTGCCCTCAAGCCAGAAGCAGAAGAAAGGTCTTTGGGAGGCTTACATAAAAAATAGGCAGGCTGCTAGCTTAAGGAAAATATCAAGGAGGGAGTAAGAGGAAGAATTAATTCCCCACAACCCCAGCTATTTCTTTCAGCAAGAAAGTCAGCCCATAAAGTGCCAGGAAGGATACCTGTCTCCCTACCCAGCTGGAAGGACTATTCCAGTCCCTTTCAACTGGCACACCCCTGTACCCTAGAAGGATCTCTGCCTGCTCCAGCAGCATCCCCCCGAGGCAGCCCATAAACCCATGCAGAGAACTGGAGTATGTGCATCTGGGAACAGCCCCAGTGAGAGACAGAGCAGGGGACCAGGCAAGAAAGGATGCTCTTCTCCAGTAGAGGAAGAAAAGAGGAATAAGAACAGGCTGAAACACTTATTTCAAAATGGATTTTATTCCAGGCATTAAACAGATTCTGGCACATGCTTTTTTTGAAGAAAAAGGAAAACAAATCTGGGTTCCACATAAATTACATCTGGCAAAGTGCAACTTACAAGTGAGTGGGAAAAATAAACCTTTTGAATCTGATTTCTGTACAACAGTAGATTCAGCTCCTCTTAAATAAACTCCCATTGGTCCACAGCACAGGAAATTACATTGGATGCTCTGATACAGTAACAGCTTTCTTTTAGGGTATTACCAATGCAAATTCTGTCTTGACAGTCTAGGGGGCTGTTTAAAGTAAACAGGAAAACAAGGGTGAGCAGCTGCTTGGTCTGACTGTTACAGTCAGTTTGCTTGGAGAAATCCTGACACCTGTTACAAAACATGGCAGTGGGTGGACCATGGGGAAAAAAGTAGAGATAACCTTGTTCTTCCTTCCCTTCAGTGCAAGGGAAATGTAGAGTATGCTAATACTGAGATTGAACAAGACTTTGTTTATTCCAAGAAGAAGTTCAGTTTGCCCACACTTGACAGCAGCCTTTTGTAATGTACCTCCTTTTCAGCAACTGCTAAAATACAGTGGAAACCAACAGCTTCCAAAAGATGATGTGTGGGGAGGTCTGAGTTGAGCTAAAGCAATGCTTTAGCTGACAGAAGAGTGAGCAGTTGGGAGGTGACCTCAGGTGAACATGTCCAAAACCAGGTAGAATTAAAAAAATGAAGCTCCAAACTCCACAAGCAATTTGAGTTACTGACATCTAGCACATGTCCACCTTTGCCCTTTCCTCCCCCAGCCCACGGCACCTGAAGCAGTGTCCCATCTTCAGCAGCCCCAGCTACAGCCCAAAAGGATGCCAGTTCACACTCTGCCAGGAGAGCAGTAGGAAGAGAGGCACGAATCAACACAGCCAGTCCAGGTATGTGTGCCCCAGGAGCAGCCAGCAGCCTCCAGCATGGGGCCAAACACACAGCCAAGGGCAGCAGTCATCGTGCTGACAAGAGCCCTTTGAACTAGGGCTGGCCCAGAGCTTGGAGACTGTAAATGAGCAGAGCTTCTGTGGTCTGCAGCAGTCAGGAGCATTGTTTGTAGAGGAGCTGGGTCCTGGTCCCAGAGTGGTTATGGAGGAGGAACTGCAAGAAAGCTGCACACACACGGTGGGAGCAGGGAGGAAGGAGGCAGTACCTGGTAGAGGAGTGAACATGCTGTTAGCTGCAACACAAGCTGCTGGAGAGAGAAATGGGGGGAGGGCAGAGGGTCCACTTAGGCTGTGTTTTGATGAAAACATGTAATCTTTTCACACTTTCTTGTATACAGAGCTTACAAACAGTACCTGCTCAGTGGCCCTTCATCTGTCTTTGCATCAATATTTTTCAAGCCAGTTAGGTAAGAACTTGACTGTTCCTGTCTCCTACTGTATAATGATGCTATTCTGAAAGGACCATGAAAGGACCATCTCTTGTATATTCTTGTTTAAAAATGCAGTAGCTAATAGGATGGCATCTCTGCCCTCAATGGGTCTGTCTGACCTGCTCTCATTCCATTCCTAGGCTATTTTCCTTCCTTCTCTGCCCTCTCCTGACCTCAGTGGTTCTGGCCCAAAGCATTTCTATACAGGGAAAGAGAAATCACTGCAGAGTCAGTGCCCTCATTTCCACAGAGAAGAGCAGCTGCACCGTTCTGTAAGGATCAAAAGTGAGTTTTCACAGTGCAGGCAGGTCATTCTTCTGGCTAATCAGGGTTGAGATGGGGATCTGATATCAAAGTGAAGGGGGAGACAGGATAAGAGCTCCTGCCACATGATGGATTTCATTTTTTAAAGCAAGAACAATAAACATTGTCCAGTTTTCACACTAAGCACATGCAATGTATGAAGAACATTATCTGTTCTTTTGTCAACTGTTTGGGCTAACACCAAGCTAAGAGAAAGAATTTAAAAGAGATACAAACATGATCAAAAGCAAACAGCTATTCAGAATCCAAATGAACAACCTGTTTCTTCTACACAGATCAGAAAGGAACCAGGCAAACAATTGCCCAATGAAGATGGTCCCACCATCTGGTTCCCCTGTCAGGTTCTTGGAAAGGAGGGTTGGTTTACAAAATCTATCTCGAAAGGAAAATTTAACAAATCTAGTTAGGAGAAGGTAAAGTTGTGGGGACTTTATTTGAATACATAAGCATCCCTTGGCAGGTTTGAAAACCCACATGTGGCTAGAGCTGACTGGTAACTGGGAGCAGGATTGGGATGCTAGCTAGAGACCACCAGTGTCTTTAGTATTTCCAGAACACAAAGGAGCCTCTTTCAGGGCAGCCCACACAGGCAGCATTTGTGCAGGGGGCAGTTTCAGCTTCACCAGCTCACCTCTCCCCAAGGTGCTCACTGGGAAGTGAGAGAGGTGTCAAAAGTAGAGCAGCCTCAACCCTTTTGCCTCATCTTTCTCATAGAGAGAAGGAAAAGCAACTAGACAAGGGAGTGGGTGGTTTGTCATGCCAGGCTCTGTTCACAGGGGCTATGCAGAGCTGGAGAGACAAGCATGAGAACTGCAGCCCTGCCCAGCCAGCAGCAAGAAGTCTGCTACCACCTAGGGGCTGTCCCCTTCTGTCTGTCACAGTGGGGATCTGGGTGGGCTCCTGCACAGCCTGAGCCATGTGCAGCACCTCTGTCTGTGTGTGCTGCCCACGCAGCTCTGTCCCCACCTCTGGTGTGGGCTGCAGTGGGCAGTGGCTGGAAGCACCAGGAAGAGCAGCCAGAGAACAGCCCCAGCTTCCCTGACATCCCCAAGTGCTGGCACCTGTCTCTGACTGGCTCCATCAGAACATGGTACTCTGAACCTGCAGGATTGGGCCACTCTTGAAGGCAGGGCTGGCCTTCCACACATGAAAAAGCTGGAAGGAAGACTACAACAGGGAATAGTCCCTGAAACAATCCCTGGTTAGGCTGGTAAAACAGACTGTCCCTTTTCAATCTCTCTTGTCAGCACTGCCCAACCTCAGCACATTTGGCTGTAGGGCAGCTTCTGTGGGCAGAGGAAGGAAGGAGCCCACCAAAAAGAGGTGACAAATCTGCCCCCGGGATCTGCTAGCTCCTTCCCAGCCTCTCCACTGATCATGATGATGCTTCTGGCCAGTCCTCACTGAGAGACACATGCATAAATGATGCATGATGTTAGAGCAAAAAGTCAGGGAGGCCAAAGAGCTACCAGTACAAGCACAACCTCAGCTGCTGGACTGAAGGTCGTGGACTCTGGATGCAGAGAGAGGAAAGGATGGGGAGAGCTACAAGTATTGGGCTGGGTCCTCCTCCATCTCTAGGTACAGCTGTACACAGGTATCAGCTACAAAGGAGAACTTAAGACAACAGATGGGAAGATTTTGACAACTGTCCTGATTCCTCTCATCCCCAGCTTCTTCTCTGAAAAGCTCAAAACATCAAGTGCTCAGCTGAAGCAGTGGCTTACTGATGAGCACAATGAAAACATTTAGGGTCAGATATACAGAACCATTCCTCCCTTCCTGATCCCCCTCTGCTCCCAAAGTCCCATGCACAAAGAAACAAGGAGATCTCTGTGCTACCATCATGTTGCTTGTAGCAGCTCCCACTGTTGGCCAGGTACACCTGCTTGACAGGGGTTGGTCACCACTCTTCCAGTCTGGTTTTCCAGGCAGAGACCGCTGACAAAGTGTTGAATGAAGCTGCCTTTCATCTTCCACTTCTGTGAGAAGACACAGAAAAAACAGGATGTTACTTCCATTTCCCTACAGAACTGTGACTTCAAGTTGAGGGTAATCTCAAGTAAATTCCAACAGCTGGGGACAATGAAAACCTGAGCATGGGGCAGCATCTCTGAATCACTGCATTCCTGTACAAATGATACCTGCAGTTAGGTAGGGTTAGGGTTTAGCTGAGTTACAGGGCTGGATACTCAGAATCATCTAGAAAGCAAACAACAGTAGTGGTCACAGCACCAAGCCTGGGCTGAATTCAAGAGGCACATGGACAATGCTTCCAGGCACAGGATGTGACTCTTGGGGTGTCATGTGAAGGGCCAGGAACTGGACTCAGTGATCCAGATGGGTCTCTTCCAACCCAGTGTATTCTATGATTGTGCAATGCTATCAACACAAAAATCAGCAGGTAATGGCATTTTCAAAGCATATTATAGTCACAGTTTCCAGGCCATTCTCTGTCCTGGGCACGCAGATACCTGCCAAAATTTGAAACCTTCCTATGGTTGCTTTCCAATCCATGGAAAGCAAAGCACTGACATGTCTCCCAACACTGAAAGCAACATGTCCACATAAAGCAAAAATCACACTTCCTAATGTTTGACTGGATCTCTCTCTTATCCATTGTTCCCTCATCTCTTCTTTCATCAAATTCAAAAAGTCTCATATAGAACCCTTTCCTGAAGGTCCACTTCAGTAGTGATACTTACCAGGAAACAAAAGTACGTCCTAACCTTGAATTTAAAATTCTATTGGGAAAGGGCTGTACCTTCCATCCCTGTTGGGAAAAAAAAAAACCCAAACCAGGGAACACTGTGGCTAATAATGAAAACTAGAAATGAATCTGTGGATTTGGGATCTCCCAGATGAAGCAGTGTCATTCATCTTCAGAGGGGCACAGCTGAGCTCAAGAGGTTGAAAAGATTGAGGGGTCCAGGCTCCAGGGATTTTCCCTTTATTCTTTTCAGTCACACAGATGACCCAGCTAGAATTGTGGTCTGGGTGCTCAGTTAGTAAAGAGCTTAGGAATATTATGAAGATGTTTTGGCTAAGTCATGAGACTGATGAAGAAAAAAAAACCAGTTTGACCATACTGATGGACCTCAAAAGTATTGCAGAAAAGATATGCAAAGGGAATTTTAGAGTTTCCTGCAATATCTGGACAATGCCAAAACCTACAAACATTTCAATTATTGGGTAGCATAGCAAAAGGACTGCCACATGCTGTGTGGTTTAAGGTATTCAGTTATGTCCACTTATTGCTGGCAGCTGTTATGTGTCTTGGAGGGCAGGGCAGTTGCACAGCCCAGAGTAATCTGTTGCTCCTGTATCGCGTATTTCATCAAGTCTAAATACCAGAGGCAGCATCAATTTGCAGTATTGCTAGCCCTGTCTGACAGGACAACACTGAAGGAGAGCTGTTTGTGCAGCAGGAAGAAGCTGGTTTTAACGGAGAAGGGGGCAGAGGAATGCAGTGATGGTGGACAGGAAGATACCATGCAGTCTTTGCACTACAATGCCCTCACCAGCTGCTGCCACCCACTGCCTACACAGCTCCCAGAGCCATCTGGCTCCCATCTGGCAGAAGCCTCCCTACAAAGAGCTGAGGAAGAGTTAATGTCATAAAGCAGCAGCTGTAATGATGGAGTGCAAAGGAGGGGGTCTGTTCCCCTGGCAAGCTGTGCTCTGTGCCTGGCTGGTGCCATTGCCGCACAGCAGCCTCCCCACCAGCATCTCCCAGTGTCACAGACACCCCAGGGAAGACCTTTTGACCTTCTCCAAAGCACACCTACTTCCTTGCCCTCCACTCTCCCACTGCCTCTCTGTATTTGTGAGTTCCCACTCTCTGTGTTCTGTGTGAGAGTGAGAGGAAGCCTGCCAGCTGCCCCTCCCACACACCCCACAGCTCACCAGAGACCCTGCTGGAAAAGAATATGCTGAGATTTGAGATGGAGGACAAGGCCAATTACCAAGAGACACTGGTTTTCTTCTCCCCCCTCACTGTTCAGGAGAACACTAGCACCACTGGAGGCTTGCTCATGTTATTCCTTCAGATGAGAGACCTGCTACTGTGGCACCAAGCCATGCTGAGCAGGGACCCACTGTGACATCTGCAGGGAGAGCCTGCAGCAACAGGCTCAGCAGGACACAGCAAACACTCCCCAGAGCATATCTACTGCTGCTAACAAAGTCAGTCAGCTTCTCAGGGAGTCACACCACTGGAAAGCCCAGCATGTCAAGTCACCCCAGATCCTTTTGTTCAAAGCAAAGTGGGACAAGATGGGGAAGGGAAGGAGGAGAGAAGGTGAGCTGAAGGTGAGGCTCATCTGGGCTGCAGGGAGGTGCCAGGTATGTAGCTGTTATAAAGCACACTAACAATAAAAGCCAAAGTAGGGCTCCTCATCTCAAATGCATGGGCTATTTTCAGAACGACAAATTTTACCTATTCTGATCAGACACTCTGCTTTTCTGCCCTTCATGAGATACCAAAGCAACTCCCCTGACTCCACCTGAACCTTTCACAAGGCCTGACTGCAGACCACAGGACTACCAAAGACAGCCCAGCATCCTGCCCTGCAGGGACACATCATATCTCAGAGCTCTCAGGGGGGTGGGCAGCAGGAAGGGATGGGAACAGGAGAGAGGACACTAATCTCCCACTGTCAGCCACCTCAGAAAGGAGCAATTTAGTCTAAACTAGTTGCCTGGTGATGTAGTTATGGAGGGGTCCAAGGTACAAACCCCTTCTGGGAGGGCCCAGCTTTCTCCACAGACTGCAAGGGAAGCCTGGACTAGTAAGTTTTGAATGATAGCAGTAATAACCATCTTTAGCAAAAAAATAAACAGGATAGACATCTCCTGCATACACATTATGAGTATGCATAAGAGAGGAGAAGAGTCCTCTCTTCTCTTACACCCAGACATTATAATTGGACTGTACATGGAAGGAAAGCTTTTGGAAGATTGCGCAATCTGAGAAATTTTGGCTTGAAAATCCTCTTTGGTCTCCCTTTCTTGTACAGATGGAGATAGTACAGTTTACTAGTCAGAGTAGGTTTGGAGTGAAGATGGAGAAAGAAAAAAAAAGAATCCATTTTTAATTTGAAATATTGTGTCTTGATCCTCTTCCCCAGTGTCAACCCAAAATTTCCCCCACTTGTTTTTTTTTGGGAATCTCTCTCTCCCTCTTTTTCATCTATCATTTCAAATGAGTTTTAGGTGGCTGGATAGAAGCATTCCACATGTAATAACAAAGAGAAAAGTCAGAAATAGCCAGTCTCCTTCTATCCAATATATACAAGAGCTGAAATGGTTTACACTAGTCTAATTTTTTAGGGCAAACAAAAGTTTTCTTTTAACCCCCAGTAATCCAGGCAGTGCAGGGTTTCTCTCAAAAATCCTAACTGTGAAACAATGGAATTGGCCAAGCTCAGGAGGCACAGCTGAGAAAGGCAAATTTTGTTCATGAGAACTGAGATGCTTCAAACAGAAATGTATGGAGAGATGATAACTGGAGTAGCCAAGGATGTTCTAAGTTGTAATTGAGTGTATCTGGCAGAGACAGCCATGGGCAGCCTGAAGCTGGTCCTGAACACTAAATTTTAAATATATGAGCAGAGACAGAAGATGGAAAAGCTCACATAGCATCCAGCAAGTACTGTCTTCCCTTGAGCACTTACATTTGTAAAACTAAATCACAACTAAGAGAAACTTTTGTCTCCTGAAAACTACTTTTAAGGTATGGCACATTGCCAGTATTGTTTTACCTACTTATTTTCATGAACGTGCTGAGCCAGGTGCTTTCAAAATAGACAGGCTTTCTCTGCTTTCCTTTTCAGATACTCCATATAAAGTTGCATTCATCTTGAGGTAATACTCACTGAGAAGTAAAGTGGGAATTATTTCCCAATGGCATACAAAGGGACACAGGATTTCAAATAGTGTTTGTCTCACAAGAACATTCAGTGTCTTAATTTTCAGGCTGAGGTCACTTGCCTTCAGAACATTTTAATGAAATATAGCTGTTTAATAGGATTTCTCAGCATTTCTTGTTCTGTTGGGAAATATTGTGCCAATGTTTCTCATTTTCATTCTCTTGTTTTAGGGTCTGACTCTCACTTTGCCTTCTATTTGTCCTCACTATAACACAAATTAAAACACCACTCCTACTGTCAGTCAGAGCCAAAAAACAAAGCTGAAGGCAATAATTTATTGTGCATTCAACTAAAAATGCTATTCTCCAAATAACATTATGGATAACATCCATCTGCTTTGAAATCTAGTTCTGATTATGCAGAATAGCTTTTGGCTGGTCTTCTGCTAGCAGTGCCAGCTGTTGCTGTTGAATGATCAACAGGATCATGTTGCCAAATAGATTTCATTTCTGGTTTCTTTCAACCCAAGGGAGTCTGACAGCATCAAAAATCATCTGAAGTGTGACTATTGTCTCATATCCTCCTGCTTGCAAAATTCGAGACTTATTTTGAGGTAATACTCTAACCACAAATCACAACACTCTAAAGCCTTTGCTAGACTATTACCTATTTGTCAGATGGACCGATTTTAGCACTGAAAATAAACAAAAAATTATCTGTCCTTGGGACATGCTTAATGCAGAACAGCTGTGTAGCATGGGCACAGCTTCAGCATGCTTGAAAGCAGAAACCAGCTTTAGGAGTCGTGTGGTGCTGTCATAATGATGTAACCAACCTACTCCCGAGACATTAAAAACCAAAGGTACCACATATATCATCTTTTGTCAGAAATGCTGCTTTTTCATGAGTCAGACAGAGACGTGAAATCTACAACCAGACAAATCCAAACAGCATTCACCACAGATCTCTGATGACAGTGACAGGAAAGATGTTCAAAGCTGGACTTCCATTACTTAGGACACTGTACATGTGATGTGTGTGATGCAAGCTGCCCACGCTCACCCTCCTCCACTCAGACCACATCACATACTCAGGGCTCCTGCTTGTCATTTCCAGCTCTGCAAAGCAGCTCAGCTGCCCTCTCTCCAACCTCCATTCAGCTCCTCTGACTTTCTGAGGAGCCCACTTGAACAGAGAAGTGGGTACACTCATGCACAGTTTGGAAGCACTGCTCTCCCCCAGCACTTGCACGTGGGGCTGTGAGTATCCATGGGGAGACAAGGCAAGCTGTAGGGCAGCTGAGGGAATTTGTTCCTTCCAGCTTTGCTCTTTCTTGGAAATCAACCTCTCAAATATTAGGAGGAGAGAGAATGGAATAGTTTACAAGATGACTGACTTCTAGCTAATTAAAAACTAATGTCAGTGTTAACAACAATTACTGTTGTGTTTGTGGAAGGAAAGAACCATAACAACATTCCCTAGGAACACAACAAACTTGAGCATTGCAAGTAGAATTGGCTTTATAACCAGAAATCTGAAATGGGAGTTTGGGACTACAAAAACGACCCCAACGTTTAAGAGCATTTAAACCCAAATTACATTAAAAATTCAAATGTATTTACCCCACCTTATCCATTCAGCTGCAAGGCAGTTTAGAATGGCATCTGCAATTCAAATCAGTCTCTAATTATTTGAAATGCTTAAGCAAATCCTTGCTTAGAGTCAGTTGGTTAAATCATCTGCCAGGTCAACTCCTTGGTGTAAGTGCAGTTTGCTCACATAAGGTAATGGAAAACAAGAGCTCACACTCTTAAGTGTGTGTATGTCTTTTTAATGAGGCTGTATACAATCAACACATGAAGACTCAATAAATCCTATTCCAGCAGCAGAATATGCCTGCTTGTGTTACTGTGGATTAATCTCTCTTCTGGCTTCTGATGCAGCCTGGACTCCACCCTCCTTGAGGGACCCTTGTCCTTCCGTGACAGAGGAAGCAGGGAAAGACAGCTGATTTTGGCAGCTGCTGAAGTCCTCTCTGCTTCCAGGGAGGAAAATACTGCACATAAGGAGAAACTAAGTGACCTAATTACACAGCAATGGGATGAGTGATTGCCAAGAAGAAAAAGGAGCAGGCAAGCACAGCCCACCTGGGATACCCTTGCAGATTAATCCAAACTCAGAGTTTTCCCAGTGTATTCATGGTGACAACTCTTCAAGACATTTCTGCATTAACCAGCCCTGCAGAGGAAAGTCTACACAGGTTTTCCATAAATGGGCAGGACTGGATTTCAGTGCTTTCTTTCAGGAAAAACTAATTTCAAGAATTCATATAGTATTAGAAAGTACTGAAAAAAGAGAATGCTGCTGAGAATTGGTCAAAGCTGAGCTATCTTCTACTTTTGGGCTACCAAAACAACAGACATGTCAGAAAGCAGAGTCAGCACAGCCTTAGATGACAGAAAATGTGATCTCTCTTGGTGTAGAGGGAAGCATGAGAACTAGGAATGAAACAAGTCCAATCTGCTGTCTGCCTGTGTTCTGTTGTTGCCTTTTGTGCTTTGCCCAGTTCTGATAAAAAGGCACATCACATCTCTCTTGAGGGCACCCCAGCCATTGCAGAGGCCATCCCTTACTTAGTGTTGCAAGGCAAAGGATTGGTTTATCCTGACAGATCAGGGATGCACATCTTGGAAACAGCATAAGTCAAAGAGCTGCATTTTGTTGGTTACATTGCTGCTGTGTGTTTTATCTCTAGGGAGCAGTTCAGGTGGAACATACAGTGCTCTATGTCAGTTGGTATCACTTAAATGAGATGCATGTCTCAGTTTTAAAGGTCTGCTCACGTGTCCAAAGACAGCACAAAGAACACAGGTATCTCACTTCAAATTAAATAAATTATAGCGGCATTTTGTTGGTTACATTGCTGCTGTGTGTTTTATCTCTAGGGAGCAGTTCAGGTGGAACATACAGTGCTCTATGTCAGCCAGTATCACTTAAATGGATGCATGCACTCAGTTTTAAAGGTCTGCTCACGTGTCCAAAGACAGCACAAAGAACACAGGTATCTCACTTCAAATTAAATAAACAAATTATAGCACACACCATCCTTCCCTTAGGTATCTCAAAGCAGTTGCCTCACCTACCTCTCTTTGGTGCTATGCTTCATCCATGCACCAATCTGGCTGCACATAAACTCATCCAAGAAGCAAAGTTGGGGTGCTGCTGAGCTGGAGCCAGCCATGCTGCCAAGGGCCCAGGCAGAGCACACACCCACATACTGCACCTCCTGCTTGGTCACACACTCTATCACGCATCCAAGCTTACAAAACACACCAGAGAGGGAGATGCAGAAGAGGGGAAGGACTTCCATGTGCTTTGATAGTGCTGGGTTTGCCCCTGCTGGCTGCACTGATGCAGGTACACTGGCATGTGGCAAGGAAGGCATTAGGAAAAGGTGCACAGTTACCTACCTGTCTGCCATCTTTTTGATTGCAAGCTTCCAGTGTGATTTGAGAACCAGTAGAGAAGGAGGCAATGGAAAGACACTTGTCCTGCTGTCTAATTAAAGGGTCACTGAATATCCACTCCTTTGGAATAAGAAAAAGAAAGGTTCCATTAGGATTCCAACAGCAATCAGATGAGGGAGAGAGAGCTTTTTCTATCAGATATTTTAAAAACCTCCATCTTTTCTTGTCTTCCTACAAAAGGCTCTCTGGGAAGATGTCACCTGATCAGAAGTTTATGCTCAGGCTTGGTGCATCATCACCATTTCAAAGCCTGCAGCTGACTCCCCTCACTATCTAAGGTGTCTGATTAACCCATGGGCCCATGCAATTCTCAGCTCTGCAGCTTTACAGATTCAGATACAAAGCAAGGAGGATCCTGAGCCCTGACACACCTGATGTGCAACTGCTTCTGTGTATTTTACACAGCACACACATTCTCTAACAGGTATCTGGGACCTATAGATTGCCAAGCAAAGCAACACACATGCAAACATATCCATATATCACCAGCGTGCATAAGGGACAAGTTGATTAGTTTTTTCCTTCCTCTGACTAGATGGATTCCTGATCCAATCATATGTTACTACTATACTTTCCCCAAGGAAGAAACACAAAATGCAGTAAGTTTCAGAGATTTCAAATGGTAATGACACAGAGCAGCGAGTCAGGTTAAATGGCACACTGAATGCTGGCTGCAAACTAGTTTCCAACATATGCATTTTCAGGCATAAAATACCCAGCTTTCTCAAGCTGCTTCCCTGCTGCTTTCCCAACAGAGTCTGAGTGCAGATCTTCAGCTTGTATGTACCATCACAGCTCCACTGCAGTTAGGAGAACTGCACCACATTACTGCTACTGGGGTCAGCTATTTAAACTCTATTTGTGCTTTATACTGGAGCACATCTGCAATACAGCACAACTCAAGTCATCTGCAGCTACAGCTGAGCTGGCAGAGCAAGGAATGTTTCTAATACCAAAAAAATCTCATACCCACATGCCAGAGTACTAGCCATGCACAGCCCCAAAATGATTTTCAGTGAGTCTGTCACTCCTTGAGCATCTAAGCACCTGTTGTCCCTGAGAGATGAAAACCTTCACATTCTGTGCCTGACTGCTGAGTCTGTTGAGCCAACAGAGTTCTGACAGATGGGCTTCTTTTTCTGTTTACTACTAAAACCATTACAGGGTCAAATTCTTCCTTCCTTCACCTCCACATCAACCCACCAAGGCCAGAGATGCCTCTTCATTCAGGTAATTAAAAGGGTAGGAGCAAAGCACCAAACTGAAGCCTGCCTTACCTGAGTGACAGGTGGATTGTTCACTGTCCCTTTACAGTTTCCCATGCCAGCCAACACATTCCCTGTGGTATCCTGTGCCTGAGATTCCAGACAGCTTCCTCCTTGTCTAATTATTCCTGGAATCAACTCTTTTTCAGGAATCCTTGAAGTAAAATGACAGTTGCATGGTACTTCATATACAGAAATGACCAAAGTACTTCTACATTTATAAGGGCTTAGTTGGCCCCTGACTAAACACAGTTCCCTATATTTGACAGAAAATGAACAATATCATGCTATCCACTGGAAATATCTGGAAGAGGCAAAAATCAAGTAAGAACTTGGTCAGAAGACTAGTACTTTTGTGTCAGAAGGAATACCAGGATCTTTAGGGGACCCTAAGCAGTTTAATGTGATGACTGAAATTCTGAAAGAGGCTGTTTCCAGCAAAAAGCCATATCCACACTGATATGCTTTGCTTCTTCCTCCCCCTTTTTCAGTCTTCTCCCCAGCTAACACATATTTTTGCCTCATTGATAGGAATGCAGGAAAGCTCTGTCAAGGCCACACTACAGCTGGATGTTCCAGCCTCCACTCACAGCCACAGACAGGTGTAAAGATGTGTTGCCTTTTCTGAGCTGTACAGATGTGTGCTGGTTTGCACAGGCCAACAACACAGCTCTACCCAGGCTGCCTCCCAGCTGAGCAAGGACTCAACACCACTGTGGCCTGACCCAGGGCAGGGGAAGCACAGGGACAGCTGGTTCTGGCATTCCTCAGAGCCTTCTCTGAACCACCCAAACCTCTGCACTGAGCCTGTCCAGTTCTACTTGGCTCAACTCCCTCCAGACAGAGCATCCAGTGGGCAAAGGCCAAGTCAAAACTGGGAGGGGTGTAGCACACTGGCATTTGTCTGCACCCCACATCTCTGAAAACACCAGTGTTGCACATCTCCAAGGGACAGCTGTGTGGGGCAGAACAGAAGGCAGACCTTTTGCAGAGCTATGATAATACAAGCCAGGAAAACACAGGAGGTTCCTCACCAAAAAGAAGAACAGACAAAACCTTTTCCAAGCATAAATCTCTTTTGCCCACTGCTGTCAAGGCTCATGTTCCCATTGTGACCCACCTCCCAGTCCCTCTGAAATTTCTACAAGTGAACAACTGACTCACTTGAGCTCGGGGTAGACATTCTCCAGATACCACTGGAAGGATTTACAGTTCAGCTTGTGTCGCAACTCCACTCGGTCTGCAACACTGGAAACACAGGCAGATTGCTGAGAATAAGGCAGTGAACATGAGGGAGGGGAACAATGAAGACTGGCCAGGAGGTTTGAGGGAAATTACATTTCTTTTTGCCATTACTCATTCTCCCACGTAACTGTTGCTGGGGTCAGAGCACTAGCAGGGACCTGAGGTGAAGACAAGGAGAGAGGCAAGTGGCAGGAAGCAGAAATGGAAAATGAACACCTTCAGAGAGCTGTTCTTGCACTTCCTTTGGCTTAGAGCAATGGCAGGGCCCACGTCCTCCCTTGTTAAATAATACAGTGCAGCAAAACTACTGTAAGATCAGGAAAGTGTTTCTGCCTCTGGGTGCCCCTGTAGAAGCATACCATGAAAGCTGCACAACAATCAGCTGCTGAAAAGGCCTAGGAAGAGTTTGTGCTCAGGTACATACAGATGATAATCTGTGTGTGCTAAAGCATGTGTCCAGCTCATGGCATCAGATCCAGGCTCAGGTTGGGAACTGAGACCTGAAGAACTTAATTATTTGTTCTTAAGCACTTTGGGAAAAGGTGGGAGTAAAAGGGAAGCTTAACTCAACATCTCAGTAGCTGTCTGCTGTGGCAGTTCTCCACTGCTGATTTGTTTGGCTTTAGCTGGCTGAAGAAGAGGATTTCCCTCCAGCAGTCCCACTGAGCAGTGAAACCAGAAACTCTTGTCTTTAAGCTATAAAATTATATTTGTGTGTTGGGAAGGCATTTCAGTGGTACCTGGGCACCTCTCCATCCTCAGCCCACAGAAGCCACTGTACATATACATGAGGCCACACATCTCAGGGGAACGTTCTTAGATTTTATAGCCACACCAAAATTGAGGGGAAGGAGGGTCCATTTTAGGGCATATTATCAGTGATGATGTCAAAGGCATTTGCACCCTAAAATCTAGATTTAATGCAGGTTCACTGAGCTGTTACTACTGGAAATTGTCTGAAGTCAAAGTCTTATGCTCTGCTCCAGCTTTTATTCAGCCAATGCTGCCAGTAAAGTCACTAGGAAGTCTGAGCAAACAAGAACTGCAGATTTTGCCACTAAAACACATGAGCAATATATCCACACACAATACGCAATAGTCTGTTTCCTTCACAAGCAGCAGGGTTACTTGTTATGTGGTCCCAGTTGCTGCAGTCAGCTCAAGGACTGATAAATTAGGTAGGCAAAGCTATTTTCATGAAGATATGTAATGTATCATGATAATAAAACAAAGTGTACAGCAAGAAAAGTGACCTGGTTGTCATAAATAAGTAGGAGATGCATCATTATCCTGTGCAAACAGCTACACATTTTAGATACAACCACATTTGCCAAGTCCTCACACTGATACAACAATAGCCTTTTGTTCACAGGCAGAAAAAACCCATAGAAATGCAGCACTCCTGGGATGTTTCCATTGATTTGGGAGTCATAGGAGTTTGAGAGCACAGACAGCAAGCTCTCCTCTCATTCCAGGTTTGGTGTCCGTCACTGATTTCTGCGTCACAGGGAACTGTTAAGTGATAACAATGAATCCATGCGGCCTGAAAACAGCTTTAGCAAAGGTGCTGTAAGACGCACAATTCTGCAGACTGCGTTTCTAAATCTTACCATCAGCCATGTTCTCCCCTGCCCTACAAACCAGGCAAACTACCCTCCCTCCATCAGGAAAGTGGGGAGTGCCCAAGTGTAACATGTGCTAGCCAGTCATGCTTGCCCTGCGATTCTGCATCTGCACAGGAACTTCATCTCAAGCTCAAGATACAGCTCATATTTCCACAACAGCTGCATGCTCTGATAGAAAATATTCCTGTCTAGCCACTTCAAATGTCTGGTCTTTTAATTTCATTACAGATCCCTCTGGTCTTCTGCTAACAAATCATTTATGCAGTGTTACCGGGGAAAAAATTAAGTGAATTAGAAGCAAACCTCATTAGCCAGACAATCAAGCTACAACCTCCTTGGCAAGGCAGGCATTCAGAGCACTTCTATTTCTCACACTTAGCCCCAGAGAAGACTAAAAACTACTTCTTGCTACCAAGGGGTTTAGCAGAGCCCTCCTAGCAAGGTCTGGGGCAGCTTACCTTCCGAAGGACTTGCCGATAGCCGAGGGCCGGGCCTCGTAGTAGTGCTGCTTGTACTCATCCATCCACACCTCTGCTGTGCGCTTGGTGTTCCTGCACGGGGAGCACATGCTGCAGAACCTGCCCTCCTCCCTGCCCTCCCTGCCAGCAGGCACTGCGCAGGCAGACCCAAGGCCTGTCTGCTAGGAGGTAGTGGGGGACAGCCCCAAACACGAAACCCAGCAGGCAGTATGGATGGGTAGAGATTGATTAAATCTACAAAGTCTTGCAAGAACACTTCAGAAATTAAAAATTTCTTAGCCATAGTTTACCATGACTTTTTCACACATACTTTCTCTGCAGAGACACCGGGCCTGATTGTCACCATCACGCTCATTTCCAGTACCCCTTTTTCCAGATTTGATTAACATTATGGGATAATACAGTTTGGAAAACAGCTGTGTCTAACATCTAATCTCCTGCTGTAATCAGACTAGCTTCATGTTGTTCAGGGTCTTGACTGGTTGAGTTTTGAAATCTCAAATGATGGAGATTTCACCATCTCTCTGGGGCCCTGAAGCAGTGCTTGACCACTTCCATTGTCAAGTACTTCATCTCATCTCTTTTCTCTTCCCATCTGTCCTGCAGTAGAAGTTGTCCCCAGGGTATATCTTAGAGCATGTACAGCTGAGAGACAACAGAGATGTCCAAGGGCTGCTCATACTCCCACATATGTCACAGGGCAGCATCTGTGAATGGCCAGGGTGTCTTCTCTGGCATACTGCTCCCTACCCCCCTCACCAGAGACTGAGAAGGAATAAGAGACACTAATACAAACAGCAGAGAAGGGAGCAGGTTTTGTCCACAGAAAACAACCACTCATCCTTCCCTTGAGAACACATGCTCAGCCACAAGCTGTTCTCCATTACCAGGGAAAAGCACAACAAAGAATTCAGACTCATTTAGACATGCCCAACACAAAGGTGGCCTGGCTGCTACCAGGAACTACCCAACACCTACTTGATGTAGGTCAGCGCGTTGCCCTCAGGGAAGTCATAGGGATGGCGCTTCCTGAACACGTGTCCCACTCGACTGCACGGAACAATCTCCAAGCTGCCACCACACATCCACACGCGGAAAGAGAGCTCTGGAAGAGACCCCAAGAGTCATTCAGCTGCAACAGTTCCAAGAAGGGCAATTTTCTTGCCTCTTTGCTCTAGGTCTATTGCCTGCAACAGCAAAATCAGGGAAAGCAATGCCACGGTGAGAGCAGAAAAACTGTCCTCCCTTTGTTAAAATGGAGGCAACCATTGCAGCTCAGAGACTTCCAAGCCTTCTCCAGTCCTGCTCCTCTTTGGTCTCATTTCAGTGAGACACCTTTGCATTTGACCAGGTCTTCAAGGCTGCTCAGGATGTCAGGCCCTCGGGATGGCATCTGGCAACAGACTGAGACCCACACACAGCCCGTTTTGGACTTCTGTTACTCTCATCCCTGCACACAGATGGAATTAGAAAGGAGAAATTTACTGTGTAAAGACCAGGTCTTCAAGGCTGCTCAGGATGTCAGACCCTTGGGATGGCATCTGGCAACAGACTGAGACCACTCGCACACACAGATGGAATTAGAAAGGAAGAATTTACTGTGTAAAGCAAATCATGTGAGGAAGAAAGGGAGTTTATAAGACAAGGGGAAAGAACAGAACAAGATGGAGGAATACAGGGAGTCCAGAGATAAGTCCTCTCCCTCTTACCTCTATGTTATCCTAGAAAGGAAGAATTTACTGTGTAAAGCAAATCATGTGAGGAAGAAAGGGAGTTTATAAGACAAGGGGAAAGAACAGAACAAGATGGGGGTATAGGGAGTCCAGAGCTAAGTCTTCTCCCTCATACCTCTAATGTTATCTACCCTCCAACAGTTCCTTCTCATTTTGTAATGAACATTTCTAGTTCATCCATCCATTACTAATGAACTAGAGCAACTCCCTGTGTTGCAGTTGCTGCTGCTGGGGGAACTGCTCAGAGCAGATACCAGTCTCATATAGTATGACTATGAAAATACAGAGAGAATCCTACTACTTGAAGAAATCCACCCTATCCTGAAGCCAGATGCAACATTTTGCTAAAGGATTACAAGAGCATGGAGCTTTGATGTGCAGGCACTTATTTGCATCACAGAAGGTATGTGACCTTTCTCAAGCTTATGGGTCTGTCCTCAAGTTTAATCACTGCCACACCAGAGGGGTTTTCCACTTTCAATTCATGTGGTGATGAAAAGAGAAGGAAGAAGGAAAATGAAAATTAGCTGGGTGGCTAGGTAGCCTTTTCCAAAAGGGCTTCAGATTGTATAGACTGATTACTTCAAAAACTTTACTCAGCTGGGATCTCCCTCCAGTAATGCCCAATTTATGCAGCTCTGATGCTTAGAAATTAAAAAGAAATTATGTATCCAGATCTAATGGATGTTTGAAACCATGTACACACACTAACATCTTCCCAACCTTCATCCTTCTCCACAGCTTTCCTCTCTGCACACTGAGAGGTAGTTCAGGTAGTTCAAACAGTGAGTTGCAAGGTTGGGGGAGATGGTGTATTTAATGCAGCTTCTCAGTAAAGAACCTCATTTGATTAGACTGCATTCTGTAGTATTTCTTACTAGTGCTTTTCTCTCCTGACTCTTATCCAGAGCTAATTATTTTCAGATTCTTTTTAACAAGAGTTCCAGATTTGAAGAGAGGAAGGGTTTTAGAAATTAACAAATAAAAAAACCCTAAGACTTAAGTTTCTGTCTGGTGATGTGTCCAGCTGACATCTGCTCTCCTGGAATGAGTTTCTGACTCACTTTGGCCTACAACAAAACTCAGTCTGGCATGCGTAATTTGAATGTGATGTTCATTTCCAAAGAGAGGATTCCTCACACCATCTTAGACAGAACCACTCCCTCATCTCACCTACAAATGAGAACCCAATTCAAGCAGTACATTCCTACTCAAAATTGTAGTATTTAGTATAAATAATGTTTCAGAACATTATCAATATTTTTCCTTGATCAGAAAACCCAGTTTACAAGTAAGTATGGTAAACGGTTTTTTTAAGTGGTTAAATTTACCATTCTGAATTCTTCAAGGAAAATGAATACATTTTGTTGTCAGACCCAGTTTGGTTTCTATCCCTCTGCTTTCAGCAGCAACAGACTTCATGGAGGATGAGGGACAAGTGACAGAAGACACTGAATTTACAGAAAAACCTCCTAACAAGGCAACACTGCAAGCCCTGTACATGTGGCTGAGCCACACACAGCCTGGCCCAGCCACTGCCAGGCTTTACAAGAGCTACTTCAAGGAGAATGAAGCAAATTCTGTGGAGCAATTCTGTGCTTTTGGTCAGCTCTATGTGGAAGAATGGCTGTGAGCATGCAAATAATGTACTGCTACTTATGGCAGAGAGCTCTACTTAGCATCATGCTACTGACATCTGGACCAAACTACAACACTGGACTCCCAGGTGGGCAGAAGCTGACAGAGAAAAGCCTTGAGACATATTCCTTCTCCATCTTTGGGGTCTACAGATTTCACACAGTCACAGCTCAGAGGCTGGCAGCATGGCCAAGTGGCTGGCTTTGCAGCTGGAGCAGGGCTAGTGATGGCAAGGAGCTGAGTTTGACTCTGCTCCTGAGGGACATAAAGGAGGGAATCTTCATGCCTGGGTAAAGGCTTCCTGTACTTCTGCCACAGTGCTTAGCTGATGCTGCTAGGACTGCTGAGATTCCAAAGCAAGCACCATTTAATATCTCTTTTGAATATAATGAATACCATAAAACTGAATCAAGATCTGGGAAAACAGAACACTCATTATTAGATTTTATTTTTAAAATGTGGTACCTTGAGAGTCTATGATCAGCCCAAAATATTATTTAACTGTTTTAGAAAGCATCTCAGAATGAGGCTGCTCTCCCAGCTGTGTTCAGAGAAACAAAGGTTTCCTCTTCCTATTTTTCCAAAGCAAGCACCATTTAATATCTCTTTTTAATATAATGAATACCATAAAACTGAATCAAGATCTGGGAAAACAGAACACTCATTATTAGATTTTATTTTTAAAATGTGGTACCTTGAGAGTCTATGATCAGCCCAAAATATTATTTAACTGTTTTAGAAAGCATCTCAGAACGAGGCTGCTCTCCCAACTGTGTTCAGAGAAACAAAGGTTTCCTCTTCCCGACTATTTCATTCTTTCTAATTAGTTCTCCAGGTGTTAGGAAACACCATACAAATCCTTCTTTGAAAGGTTTTATTTACATATCTGTGACATTTATGGAATCTATAGAAACTGATAGGTTTTTTTTTTTTGCAGTGTTAGCTACAGAGAAGTCTTCTTAAGTTGGTTACAAAAAGTAAAGCTTTTATCTTCTCAGCTCCATCTGCACTATTTCAAAATTAATGTCCCAAACACTTGAGGTCTCCATGAACCTCTCTTTAACACTCATCTTGCTTTTGTCATTAACACCTGGTGACATTGCAGCATCCCTTCACAGGGGGCAAAGAGAAATGCCTGGCATATCTGTGCCACTGTTAAATGCAAGGAGATGGATTTAAGCACCATGCCCTAATCCAGCACATGGGTGGACAGACTACTCTGGGCCTCTGATGTCCTCAGATGTTTCTGATGCCCTAGTCTGCTTCTAAATGTTTGCATTCTGAGTATATTTGTAACCAAATTCCTTTTACAAAGAGGCTTGTTTAATTAGGAAAAATATCTCTCTGATCTGTCAAGCTAAGAGAGCAATTCAGACTTATCTGCAAGAGAGGAACAGGTATAAGCAGAGGCTGCAGGAGTGGCTACCCACTTCAGAACTACACAGAATATCATGTGAAGATCTGGAAGAATATTCTCCAAAAGCAGGCAACAATTTAAATATCAGGAGGCTCCTCTTTCTTTCTTGTACCGTGGAAGCTCCTGTATAATAGCACATATACCTGTAGGAGAGTGTAGCCCTGACCACACAGACTTTATGCTGACAGTGACACAGCTCTGACCACCTTGGGGATTACCTGACCATGTCCCCAGCATTACACTGACAGGCTGATCAGATCTCTCACAAAAAAAGCTCTGGTAAGCAATGAAGACAGGGAAGCAGTTCTGCGTTAGTGTGTTATTCCCTTGAAACATCCTAAACTCACCGAAATTTTCTCCTCCCCAGATGTCCATTTGAGTATCATATTTTCCCAGGTGGTTAAACCAGGACTTGTCAATCACAAAGATGCCTCCTGCTATGACAGGGGTTCTGGAACAGAAAAGAGAAATCCAGAAAAAATAATCACACATATATGTAGCACCACAAAGCTAATTTTAAAGGGCAGACAAATTTGTCCAGGCATCACAAGTCATACCTCATTTAAAAGAGAAAACTAGTAGAGCTGGAATGTGAGCCTGCTGCAGGTTTCTGAGATGCCTCTCACTAAATCATCCACCTTTGTTAGATGGTCTTGCAAGCACTACAAGAGTAATGCTGTGCCTTCTGCATTTATACAAATATGCACAGTGTGAAGGAATGATGGGCACTGTTTGATGACTGTGTTCACCAATTAGACATGGTGTGACAAGCTGCTGCATGTACTGCTCTGCTGTTAGCAAGCTGGCTGCTTCTGGAGTGCAAAACAAGGCTCACAAATTACACAGAGGAATTAAATGATACCTTCATATTACAAACAGGGAGCTGTCTGCCTATAAAGACAAGCACCATAACTGCTCATATCAGGATTTGTTACATTCTACATGTCTCAGAGCCATGTATCCTGCAGCGAGGCTGGCAACAACTCTTCCAGCTAACAGAACCTCTTTTGTCTGTGGACATGCAGATTTAGTAGGTGGGAGTAATTCTATGCCCACATTACTAGGTAAGATCCAGTTTTCTGATCTGCTTTACACATGTGGAAGGACTGTTTATCTGCTTCACTCTTTAAGTTTTCATCTGAAAGATGGAGGTAATTAAAAAACCCAGAATGATTTCTGAGGCATTCAGGGTGTTGAGTTAGGGAGAACACAAGAACAAACATAGAGGTGGCTTGTAGAGGCAGGTGTGCATGATAGTAAATAATCAATATTCTTACAATATTCAGAGAGCAGTTCTCTCACACTTAGGGTATACACCTCAATGTATTCAGAAAATAACATGAAGAGTTTGTCATCATCAACATCATCAACACTGTGGCATTTTGTCCTCAGCAAGGCATTCCCTGTACTCTCCTTGCCACTGATGAAGGCTTAGTAAAGGTATTTGGAGAAGTGTCCATCAGACTGTACCTTATAGACTGAGTTGGGTCTGTTCTGGACATCTTCTGCTCTATAGGAATCTGTTCCCACTTAAAGTGAAGGCTCCAGTCAAACCCTGAAAAGGAAAAACACATGCCAAATTGGTTTTCTTATTGTAAAAACAGTACTAGTAGCTTTCAGTGAGTCTGCACTGTTATATCACAGGCTGTCCCTATGTTCCTTCCCTGACCTCCCTCACAGTCTTCCCAAAATGGCAATAGCCTATCCTAACGCAGACCTCTCCAGCTTCTGTCTTGGCACCATCATTCCTTAGCATTACAGATGTCTCCTCAATTTCACTCCACACCTTCAGGAGAGTGTTGTCAGGCTGAGATGTAATTCTATTCTAGCCAGTTTGTTTTACCAAAGGCAAACCCTGTCAGCCACTAAAGTTATGAGGCTTTAATAAAGGCCTTTGCAGGATGTGATATATTCTGGGAACAAAGGCCTGCAGAGCACTGTACCCACCATGCTCTTCAAGCCTACCACGTACTTACAGATAGCCCATGGTGGATAGTAGAGCACAGCACAGTCACTATACCATTGTTAAGGGTAGCCAAAGAACAGGTAGCCTTTGGCTGGCAAGCAGTGCAGAAGTGAGCCCCAGCCATAAAAGATGTAGAAGGGCACCAGGAGGTAGGGTGAAGACAGGAACAGCTGCAGGGGGTTCAGCTGTGAGGGGAGAGGTGTAAATGCTTTTCAGAAGATGCCACGAGAGAGCCTGCCAGATCAAAGCAGCAACTGGAAGTGCCCATCAGACTCCAGTGTGCATGCAGCATACTGAGATGCTGCATGCACACTGAGATATTTAATCAATTAACATGCTGAGATATTTAATCAATTAACTGAGTCCTGAAACTGCTAAATGTTATGACAGTGATTCAAGGTCAAGAGGAAAATACTAGCTGAGTTTTGTTCTAACTCTTCAAAAGATCTGACTTTGCAAGTTGCAGACAAAAAGGGACAGATAACCCATCAGAAAGATCATCACTCTATTTTCTTGGAAAGCTGAAGAGAACACAACTTATTTATCACGCACCATCCCTCAGTTATGGCCAACTTACATAAGCCATTCATTATACCCACCTCCCCTCAAATCTGCTGATGCTGCCAGGTAGGCAAAATTATCCAGGCTGATAACATCAATGATTGGACTCACCACTCGGGTATAATCCTGAGGGAGAGAGAGAAAGGGGGGGAAAAAGGGATCAGGCTTTCTTGAATGTCCAGCAAAGCTGCCAGAGATCAGGAAACACAAAGCTGAACATGTAAATCTTTGTCTGGTTTCTCCATTATGGTTCTGGCAGCTGTGCAAAGGATCTGTGGCCACTAAATCCAAACACGGAGATGGTGGGTACCAGCCAGCAAAACTCCATGGATGAGGGGAGTGGAGTCAGACTCCAACACCTAGGAATGCTGCTAAGAAACAGCTCTTTATTTCCTGCCCGAGTCATAGGGTATCAATCACTGTCCCAAGGGTCTTGTGCTTGCTTTTGATATCTATTGACAGCACACCTGCTTAGCCATCCTTAAACTAGCTCATTATCATCAGCCTAGAAATTATCAAACCCCTAATAATGCATTTACCTATGAAGCACCATGAATCAAGAACCCTCATTTAATTTTCATAGTGCAAACTTTATAATATATATGACACATTGTATACATTATAATATCAAGATATTGTGAGTACTTTATTGCCATTAAGGCTTACAGACATTTACAGTTTTCTTTTGCAATCCTTTTAGTTCACAGAAGTTGAACAATTTTTCAACATCATGAGACAGGGCATTAAAAGACAGTGTTGTGACAGCTGCCATGTAAGATGAAACTGAGCTGGCAATGCCAGAAACAGCACCTTGTTATTGGATAGCTGCCAGCACCCATGCCTTTCCTATCGAACCTTCATTTTGTGCCTTGCAATATTTCTCCATGATGTACCACACTTGGCTAGGATGGGACATCCTTGGTAAGAGGATTCATGTTTTTCCCCTCTGAGCTGTGATGGTGGCCCAGCCAGAGTGTGTCTGCACAGCTTGAGACTCCAGCACCCACCTGGCAGCCTGGTGTGCCAGCCACTACTCCAACCAATCAGTGCCAGCACTGGCTAGGGCAAGACTGAAATCTATAATAGAATGTACATCAGAAATGTAGAAAGTAGGTCAGAAATAGGCTGACTTGAAATCTGCTCACTAAAACATTTGTATACTAGAGTTAGCACACAGGCTTTCACATTTTAGATCCTTCCCTAAAGTAATGAGTGAAGTTCTTTCTGCTGCTGCTGCTTGACTTAAAGATCAATAAATAAAGTAAACATTTATGGGCTTTATTGAACAAGAATAAAAAGCAGAAGCTTTTAATTCGTCAATTCTGAAGTTTCACCTTCTTCTGCTCCCTCATATTAAGCTACTCAGACATGCTTACAAAGCAAAATTAAAGACTCCACCCTTTCTCCTAAGGTCCATTACTTCATGGGATCCTCCTTTCAGAGGGGAACAATCATAGCCATTTGCAAGCAGGACTTTTCCCATCCCCTCTCCCCTGCCTTTTCTTGCAGTAGAGCTGTATGATCTGTCCCTCCAGCTCTGCAGTGCAGTCAGGGTGACAGCTGCTCATATTTCTGCCTCATTTTCATTCTTCCAGCCTTCCATCAATCCTTTGCCAAGTGAACCATCCAAGGGAACATCCCTGCAGTCACAAGCAGCTTCTCTGTGACAGGAAACTGCCTGCATGCAGGTGATGTATGGTGGCAGCTCAGTAGGAACATTAATAGAAAGAAAATTTTGGCAGTGACAAGGCAGAGGGGAGGGTCCAGCAGCAGGGGAGATGGAAACCATGGAAAAATTGCACAATGTATGCTGCCCAAGGGGCTGTCTTACATACAGGTGAACAGGATGAGGAAGCATAATGCCTGCAAGAGGTACAAGTTGGTGGTTCCAGCACTCAGCATTGCATCCCATCACTCTGCACCTCCTGCCTTGTCACACTGCCAGAACAGAATCCCATCAGGGATCTCTTTCCCACCTAGCCCAGGCTGTACCTCCCTCTGTAACAGCCTGCCTGAGGAGCACCTTGGCAGGCCTTGTTCTCACCAGTTCTGCCAAGGCATGTGAGAGCAGAGGATCCAACAGCACAGGCCAGGCCAGCTCCATCCATCCCAGAGCAGGACACGGTGCTCACCTCTTTCACTCTCTGAAGCATTGGCTGCAGCCACTCGCTGTTGACTTCACAGTGACTGTCCAAGAAGGTGAGGATGTCAGCAGCTGCCACTTCAGCCCCTCGCACCCGAGAGCGAATCAGCCCTGCGAGGAGAAAAGGACAGCAAAGGAGCAGGAAGGTTAGGAAAGGAAACATTTGAGCCTCCTTCAGAAAAAATACTTTATGTGGCCATTGCAGGAAAGAGCAGATGATTCTCCTGTATCACATCTCCATCAGGAGCAGAGAGCAGCTTTAGAGCAGGGCATGCCCTGGGACAGTCAGATGAGCCCTCCCAGCACAAAATGAATGAGCTCTCCTGTCACTTCTGTCCATGACACAGAACTTCCACCTGGCTCCTTGCTCTTCCCTTCCAGCCTTCCCCACAGACACCTGGCTGCTGGCTGCTGACCCTCTCTCCCATTGAGTACCCTGCTGCCTTCATCACCAATTCCCCATGGCCAAACTCTACTCTCTGCTTTCTGCCTTCCTTAGTGCTTATCTCCTTTATTCCATTTGTCCTTTATTCTGCCCTGCAGAGATATCAGCCTGGCTCTCAGATGACTCCTTACTTTCTTACAGACCATCCCACTATGTGGGATGCTCTTTGTCAACTAAACAGTGATTTTTGTCTCTCCTTCTAGATCCTTGCTCCAAACCTGCTGTGCACTGACAGCTTTTGAAATAAGCCAGCACATGTGGGTCAAACTAAAGAGCAGCTGGGAAAGTAATTTATGCATGTAAAAGAATTATGACAAAAAACTTTCCTTAATTGCATCTCTTTTTGATAGATACATGATTGTTTCTCCTTCTCCCATGTCTCCTACACAGCTTGTTTTCTTGCACTTGAAAGTGCAAGAGTTAGATTGTGTTGAAAAGGACAAGACTTGCACCTGGATCTTTAGTCATAAAGATCTTAAAATGTGATATTTGTTCCAGCCAAGGACTCTGGACACCACTTATTATTTAAGTATTAAATGAGACCCCCGAAGCCTGAGAGTTGATAAGCTGTATTCTCCCTCCACAGAACTTCCAAATGCTTATACTGAAAAAATAAACTCTAACTACAGGAAACAATATGTAAGCAGCTGGGAGGCACCAGGGTCATGTGGAAAAATAGGCAAGATCTTTGTGCTTTGAAAGCTTTCCACACTCACCTTCTCGATGGGTGTTTCGTAGACACTTGACCTTTGGGATCTTGGTAAGGAGCTGGCAGTCCTCAGCTTGGGAAAGGCAAAAAAGACATTCAGCACACATGCATGAATTATTTGGCTTCAACAGAAAGCCCCAACTAACTGTACTCTTGCTTCTCCATGGGAGGGGAAATTCTGCTTTCGCTTAACATGACATTCATCAGCATGATGGCCTCAATCCTGTTGTCTACAGAGTACACAGAAGAGCCCTGCCTGCTTGCTGTCCTCAGCAGCTGAGCCCATGTTTCCCAATCCTCTGAGCAGCCAGGCCTCCATCTCCCCTGCTCAGCATTTCCCAAGAACAATGGGCATGTACTGGCAGCATGGCACTGGGCACTAAGGAAAAGGAGGGAACACAGAGAAGCAGGACTGCAAACCACCAAAGTGCCAAGGAAAAGAGAGTTCTGTAACAACGTGATCTTATCCACTCTCTTTGCCTTCAGTGGCTCATCTGGGCATTTCCTGCCTTTCATTCTCAGGCCAGTTTCTGCTTGATTTTATTTAATAAAGGCCACTGGGATGCAACCTGCTTCCTTAGAGACACCAGCACATTGACACATGGATGCCTGACCAAGGGCTTTGCTGGCAGCTTGCTAGAAACTCCTGGCATCCCTCATTTACACTACCTAGGGAAGATGAGGGAGAGGAACAGTTACCTGCTCCAGCCAGACACCAAGGAGCACTGAGTCTTTACTTCTCTGTCATCCCCTCTATTCCCACCCTAGGAGATGTCATAGGAACAGCAATTTCTAACTTGCTCTTTTTTCTCGCTCCATCAAATTCACTCCAATTTCCCTGTTTATTCCGTATTCCTTTACATGTCTCATGTCCCCTCTTTCCTGCTGTCATCTTCGCACAGACTGAGCACTCTGGGGAGGATGCAAAGGCCCTTAGCCAAAGTACACCTCTTAGCACACTCCTGTACAAGCATTTCCATTCTCTAGGATCTGTGCAATCTGAAATACTGCTCTTACATTGGCACTTTGGCAGATCCTGCATCATCCAAGGGAAGTGGCAGGTGCTCTGAATTATAGAGCATTGAGATTTTGCTGGAATTCTGCTACAAGGGAAGGCAATGCTCTTATCTTGGCCAAGGCACAAGTTCAGCTATGAGAATCCTTATTCAGTCGTTCACTCTGCAGGAGCAGAGCACATGGCTCTGCCTGTAGATACTTGCCAGAGATGACAAACTCTCAGTATATTTGGAGAAACTGAGGCAGTATGAAAGCTAAGTGTCAGACCTCAAACATGTGCTGAAGTGCCTTCATGAATGTATCTCAGGGAAGTGGCTATATCCACAAATAGCCGGCTGCCAGTGAAAAACATAACAGCTGTGACAGGATGGAGCCTTTTAAAAATCTTCCTATTTATTGAGGAGCCTAAATGGGAGTTTATGGTTGAACCTTGTGCAGAACAGGTACCAGAAATCCATCACTGTTGATCTGGAACACTTTGCCCCTTAAGAACTGAAATTTTTAGGTGCAGATGTGGAACACAAAGGATTGTTTGTGACAAGTACTCAAAAACACTGAAATTAAACAGCTGAGCACAGCTCAGTACTTATTCGAAACTCTAAGGCCCTCAGAAACTCAAATCCCTCATCTCAGCATCCACCTTTAATATGGGGGGTTTTTTGTGGCCAAAGCTACATAAGCATTTAGCTGCAAAATCAAAATAGCATTGCTTCCTTACCTCAGCAGGCCAAGGTGGGCACTCGCAGCTATCTGTAAAGTGCTCTGAAGGAGTAATTATTGATCATTATAAATGGTACATAACTAGATTGTCCTTGAGTCTAGAACACATCATGGGAGAAGCAAGAAGTCTTCTATGCCCACCACCTCACTACTACTACACAACAGCCAGGAGCAAGAGCAACTGTACAGAGGGAAAGACTCCAGAGCCTCCAGTCTGCAGCTCTGGTGGAACTGATGCAGTAGACACTCCACCCCTGTGCCAAGCTGCAGAAGAAAGTATGGTGCTGTCCAAAGCAGAAACTCTGCCACAGCTTCCCACAGGGATACCTGGGATCCCAGGCACATGGAGGCAGACTCGCCTCAGCCTGCCTGCAGGACCCCAGGCAGCAATTTTCCATATGCTACACCACATCTCTTCTTGCCTCTTGGTCTGCAAGTACCTGCTCTGTTCATGCACAGCATTGCTACACATATATCTGTGCTAAACAGCTCACCAAATGGTGCATAATGAAACATGACAGAGATCTCTGGCAACCCAGCAGAAACTGCCACACTGACAGAAATGGAAGACCCAATGGAAAGAAAAAAGAGAGGAAGAAGCTCTGGCCTCTGCCATGCATGGACATTAAACACAGACTTACTTTCTTTTATTTTTCTCCTGCATACAGACAAGAGGGAACCTGTGAGGGAAGGGGACTCAACAGAGCAAACAAAAAATGGGAAAACAAAAGGAAAGGAATAAGTGTAAAGGAAATAGGTCCAAACTTACGATCTGAGCTGAAGTCATCTACCAAAATGATCTCCTGGATGAGACTGGGAGGGGTGCGGTTCAGAACACTGCAGGGACCCAGGAAAGAAAAAGCCACTTTGTGAGCTGCCATAACAATGACAATGTTAGGACTGATAGAAATCTGCTGTGCTATGCATTACAGCAGGAATACCAAACTCCAGTGAAGTGGAAGCAGTGACCTTGCCCTTGTAACAGTGTTCATTGGCAAGACCAAGCTACAAGCAAGAGTATCCCAGAGAGCTGTGGCACTCAGCCAGGCCTTACAAGGACCCACAGCCAGCAGCTGACTGAGACTTGCCTGGGACAGCTAGCAAAGGATGCTGCAGCATGCTCTGCCACTAAACAGAGGTGAAATGGAGAGAACCACCTGCCCTGAGGCAGCCCAATGGCCATTCCCATCTGCCAGCCTCTGGGTGAAAGTCATCACTGCTGGAGGGCATAAAGAGCTGCCACTTTCCCCAGCAAGGAGCTCCTCCACCTCAGCCTTAGCAGGTGGCACCTGTTGCACTTTCTCACCGATTCCCTTCTTTGGAAGGAAGCATTGTCAATATTCTGGATTTGGATTTTTTCCCTTCTTTTGTTTGTCTTTCACACCAGCACCACTCTTGCTGAAAGAATCCCCTTTCATCAGGCTGGTTGCACCATACCGTGTAATACCCTTGGGTCTGCAATGGGTTTGCATCTGCAGGACACAAATGAGGAAAGCAGAGAAAAGCTTCTGCCCTCCTCAGATGTCAAAGCATTCTGGTACTTTGGAGTCTGAGCAGTTCAGTTCTGACCTCTTTACCAGCCTCATTCATTTAAAATGCTTGAACTCTTTTCCCATGAACTTCTTCAAATCTTTCTCTTGCTTTACTACCATCACACAGCATATTCCCCCTCCAAGCCTCCTTCAACACCTCTGTGCACAGCAGGTGCTCATTACCTTCAACAAGGTTGCTCAGTAATGCTGAAGCATCCAATGAAGATGGCAGTTATGCAAAATTTAATACTAAAAGCAGAGGCAAACGTTGCTCTCCTAGTTCCAGCAACCTGTCTCATTTCAGTGGCACCTGCCTTTTGAGCAATACTGGAGAAAAAATTCTGGCTTTTTTTCTCTTTTGGATTTTATTCTTTTTGTTGTTTGATATTGGAAATAGACAACAGGAATAGTCCCATACTCCCAGGAATGAAGATCTAGAGAAATAAATTGCCATCTTGTTAAGTAACACTACTGATGGCTTTGCACACAGAACCAAAGTTCCCTCAGTTTGGAAGAGTTTTCTGCTTTCTGCAAAAAAGCAAAATTCTGACTGTTCTGCTGCTCAGCATCACATCCCACTCTATTTCAGATTCACATTGCTTTATACACCTCTCATAGTATTTGTATTTTGAGCTGACATGTCCCTAGATGACTGAGCTTGCATTTTCCAAAGCTGAATCTCATTTGCTTCTCTTGGCTCACATCTCTCTGGATCCTCTAGTATGGTGGGGTGGGAGGTGGGGGGATGTTCCTGTGCCATTCTAAGTGCAGCTTCTCCCAGCACAACCACCATCTGCATATTTCACAGACAAGGCTGCCCTGCACTGAAATTCTTGTCTGTGCAAACACAATGCAAAAGAACCCAGACAGACTGCAATATAATGGCTGCAAAATGGTATTCTACACCTTCTACTAGCTTCACTATGGCAAATACACACATTTTCTCCACAAGTTTCAGGTGTTTCAACCCCACATAACTGGGAAAAAAGCCCCATTTTGTTCTCTGTTCTTTACCTGTCTACTGATTCCCCTATAGAGAGAACACATCCCTTGAGGAGTTCACAGGTCATTGTATAGTGCCCTGTTCTTCTCTCAGCTCTGCAATAGCTGAGATCCTTGGGAAAGGTTCTTAATCTTCTTTGCACTTTGTCACCCCTGTCTTTTTAACAAGGAGCACAATAATCCTAATATCTCCCCTCACTGAGGTGCAGAGAATGCCATGACAAACACTTTCAGGCACAAAAATGTATTATTAGAATTCTGAAATCCAAGTGACAATTGCCTTTTACAGCAGAAACATGGACTGTTCCCCCCTCATCTCATGGTTTCCCTATTTCCTTTGCCTTTTCTCACAGCTTCCTTCTTCTTTCAATATCAGAGTCCTTACTCTCTTGCATGAACATGACATCAGCACTGCCAATGAGCTCCTCTCCTCTGTCCATCCCTGCCTAAGTTCCCAGATAATCTTGTTTATTCTGGATGTTAGCAGAAGAGTATATTTTTTTCCCTTTGCTCTAACATAATATTACTTTTTGCCATTATTTAAATTGCCGTTGTAATGAGAAGCTACACCAAATGCTCATGTTAGCAGAAGAGTATATTTTTTTCCCTTTGCTCTAACATAATATTATTTTTTTGCCATTATTTAAATTGCTGTTGTAATGAGATGCTACACCAAATGCTCCAGCATTACAACAGCATCCTCTTAATCAGAATTTTCATAGGCCCTCTGCATAGGCACTGAACCACTGACAGCTGTTCAAATCCAGTGACTTAGAGTTTCACAAGTCACCTTTATATTTGCACCAAAACCAAAAGGTCCCTGCAATGCTGACTTCCTGAGATCAGAAAGAGGGGCCAAACAACAAAGCACTTGACCTTTTTGTTCTGCAAGAATGGTCATGGCAGCAGAGTGAAGGTATGGCTTAAAGATTAATCATGCATAGACATCAATCACATAAAATGCCTTTTGAGTGACAATTGTTTCTGAAGGAGAATAGAATGCCAAGCAAGTGACTGATTTGAGAGTGACAGCTATGTCCTAACAAAGAAAAGAGATCAAAGCAGGCAAACAGCTCTGACTGACACACATCTCCTGCAGGACTGAGGATGCCAGCAACAAGCCATTTGAACTGGCATATTCACAGGTTTTGTCTGACATCCCATTTCCCATTTTTTCCCCTATTCCCCTTCTTTAGACTCTTGCTGGATATTTTGAACTAGTTGTCTCCCTCTACACTGAAAACATATGGCTGGAGTCCACACTAGAAGGCAGGTATGCAGCCCATGCTGCCTCTGAAGAGCAGGAGGGATAAGCAACAGGGTGCTTGAGGGAATATGTTATTCCTCTGCAAGGTCACTCCTCTCTTTCCCCCTCTCCCTCATACACAAACATTTCTCCCATCCTCAAGGAGCAACGACAGCACATCATTCCTGTTGCTTCCACCCAGCAGCAGAGAGGGAGGGAGAATAAGGCAAACACCTCTGGCAGCTCAGCAGTTAAGTCCATGTGTTCACATGTGCATGTGAGGATAGCAAGAAGGATATACAGATCAGGACCTGGCCCTTAGAGCTGCCAGGTTCAGATCACCCTGAAATAAGCCTGTGCTGCAGGAGTATCATCCCTGGGTCACATCCCAAGATCTTTTGGCACCAGCATTGCCACTTTGTTGAATTACCTTGCAATAAGCCAGTATCTGGCTCAGGGGAGTGCATTTGGGCTCCCTCTGGGTTTAAGATCAGCTCAATCCCAGTACCCTTTTCATGTATTTCATTCTAGAATTTCCAAAAGTCTTATGGCTGGTTTTTGAGTACCCAAATTCAGATAGTCAAAAGCCACAATTGCAAAGACCTCACATATGAAAATTTCAACTGGTAATACATTTCCTACTCACCTCAAAAGATTAGGCCTCTAAAAATGTTTTCAGGCATAGAAAATTTTGCTTTTAGTGCTGCTAATTTTCATCAGTTTTCCTCCTTCACACCCATTTCTCTTACAGCATTCCCACAGTGTAATCATGATAACTGAACTTGGGAAAAGGCCCATAATAACAGTGGAATCGTATTTAACTTTCACCAGATGCATCTCACATGGTTCATTCTAATTATCCAAATAATCATGCTCTACCTGGTCTAAGAAAGCTCTTGCAGATATAGAAATAATGACAAGCTGCAAGCCTGACTAGTCAGCAGGTAAGCAGGCAGTGCAATTTTATGCTTCCTGCTGCTTAATATTACTGTGGTCCTCAGCAGACTCACAGCCAGGCCATAAACCCAACAGAACAGAACAGTCCTGTCCCTTTGATACTTGACTTATCCCAAAGTGCCAGGGATGCAAAGTAATTACATAGCACTGGTGCACTGACTGTGTGTGTGACTTGAACAACAATTACTCTCTCAGCAGTAATTCAGCCTGGCACATTCAGATGAGTTTTGCTGAAAGATGGGGCTCTCAGGTTACAGAAGAGGCCCTGAAGAGCTCTGTGAAATCTCTCTATAACATCAGTGTCAACCTGTAAGTCAGACTTATGCCTATGCCTGTTCTAGCAGTGCAGCCATGACGTGAACCTTTACCTTTGTGTATGGTTGTCAAACCTTCAGTGCTCAAAGACAAGGCTACTAGCCAATGCTTGCTAGTGTGGCACTGCAGATACTGTAGAGCCCAAGAAGGACTCAGCCTTCAGGATCTCTCATGAGACAGGGATAAATTATTGACACTTCTGATGGGATTTAAGCAAAGTGTAAATCCATCACATGCACTGGCTGTAAACCATCTGGCAATGAAGACCGCAGCTGTAGCCAGAGGTCTGGAAGGAAATTCCATCCACTACACCATTCACAGCAGCGTGCAGACAGTTCCTCACAACAACAGTCCTCCAGGGGCAGCAGCATTGCAGGGACCAATCTGAATAGATGGGTCACCCATTTTTAAGGTCTTTGTTGGGGGCTCTGGTTGCAGGAGACCACATCTGAGAGACTGGTAATATCACATTTTAAGTGCTGTGTCCAGTTCTGGCTTTCCAGAGCAAGAAAAAGTAGGACATACTACCATGGTTTCTCAGCACCTATTTACTGTCTGACCTATGACTGAAAAGGCAGAAATCTCCCCCAGCTGCCCTAGCAGCACCATGATTCCAAACAAGTCTGCCCATTTTCTGGACAGTGACTCTGCAGAACTCATTGTATGGCTCACATGAAAAGAAAAATTATAGAGATAAAAAGACATAACATGTCAATGCAATATATACAGGTCTCTGGAAACACAATAGCACCAAACTTGGTGGCAGAAACCCGGCCTTCTAGATAGGAAGCCAATTTGAAAAAAAACTGGTTTTTATTCATATAGCACATTTCTTAGGTCCACAGGACCTGTCAAGGGAAGAAGTGGCAATGATGAATAATGCATTCCTGTTAGTGATACCATCAGCTCAAACTGCTACACTGACAATTCACTCTCCCTTCAGCCTCAATGGCTGTTCCTGGGCCTGCTTGCAGGCTTCAGAGACCGTTTGAGAAATTAAGTACCCTTTGAGAAATTAAGTAAGTCAGAGGGCATTTTTTTCTTTGGGAACTAAAAGGAAAAGAGCCTCCCTGGGCTCTGTGGGGGTGATGGAAGAGGGCAGTGAAGGAGCAGCTGGAACATCGCTTTGTGGTACAGATGATTGCAAACCTCCATCTATTTGGGGTTGCTGACAGGCCTATGCCACCTATTTACTTAGCTAGATTTGGCCACTTCTGACACTCAGATATGAGGAGACACTGGAACAAGATGGCAAGTGTCCTGCAGGCTCAGCAGGAGCTGTGTGCAAGGCCCAGGGTACACCTGGTGGGGCACCAGGTTCAGCCATTGAAGGGACCATGAGCAAGGGCTTGGACACTGCACCTAGCAACACAGTGTTCTCTTTAGTCCCCCCTCACTCTTCCAAACCAAGCTCACACTTGGCTGAGACTTGAGACTGTTCTCACCTGTGGATGCAGGCCCAGCTACCCTTTCTTGCTGCCCAAGATTCCCCCAGCTGGAGCCATACAGTGGCTAGCTGCAGATACTCTTTGCATTTGAAGATATGCCCACAATGCCAATCCAAGCCTCTGGCCTGTCCTAGTGGGCCATCTTGAGAGCAGAATGCTACCACTTGGGGAACTGCAGCCACCCTGCTTGTCTAGCTGCTGCAAAATGCCCAGTTTTCCCCCAGAGCACTCCCAGACTCCACCATGTAGGCCCAGCAGCCCAGCAGAACTCACCTCTTCACCGTGCGGAGCAGGGTAGATCGCGCCTCGTTGTGGAAGGTGATGATGACACTGGTGGCTGGCAAGTCAGTGTCATAGCGTACAGAAGTGCACCTGCAGCACAGGAGAGCACAAGTGCAAGCCAAACATTAGCAGTAGTACTGCAACAGTGTACCTGCAATTTCTAAAAGAGAGTAATACACTAAAATCAGAACCAGCACAGTTGAGCTGCAATAAGGCTGGCAGAGCTTAAAAAGAACTGTGCCTATTGAAAAGCAACATTTGGAGGCTGTGATACCCAAACTCACGCTAAGGAAGCCATGTGGGTTTTATAGTAAACTAAGTTTCAGTCATGGATTCCCTGGGTTTCAGTCATAGTCCCTGTGATTCACATAAATTCATATAAGATTTTGTTTATTCATGCACAGGACATGGACATGCTAAGGATGCATGGAGCTGGTACACCCAGGCATTGCTGTATAAAGCACTTCAAATTCTTTGGACAAACTTCACAGAAAGAAAAACACCAGCTAGTTCTGTCATCTGTGTTGGGGAGTTGCTGAGGCTCAACACTAATGGACCTGCTGGCAATGAAGAGCAATTCTTTCTATCTTCTCATCTGACTTTGTAATGTTAGATACATACATACACCCTCACACTCAGAACCAAGAATTAACTTGCACCAGGCTGCTTCTCCCTGTGGAAAGCAAAGTTTCTGTGAGGGGAGCAACTCACAGACAAGAATGCTGAATCCAATTCTGGCAGATGCTAAGCACAGCTGATTTGGGTTGACATGCTCCTCCAAAGCATCTGCCTTCTTAACTTCCAGATGGTGTCAAACTGCAGTCAGTGTGCTCTAATCTCCTGTCTGATGAAGAATCCACACCTACTTCTAACAACTCAAGACTTTGCATAGACTGAATCTCCATCAGGAGACAGGGAATACAATTCAGCACAAGACTTGGATCCCACAACCATGGTCCTGATTGCTTGCCTTTGAAAAACACTCTGAGAGCTGTCAGTGCTGGCAGGCTCACAAAGCTCCATGTCTCCTGGCATCCCTTTCACAATTTCAATCAAGTTAGATGCCTGGTTTCCTGCTCCCAGGAATTGTGAAATGTTGCTTTGAAACCATACCTAGAACCATACATAGTTCTAGGCTGTGGTAATTACATATTCTCTGAACAGAGAAAGTCGTGAAAACAATTCTTATTTTCATTTACTACACTTGTTGTGCACATGTGGAACATGTTAGAGAGATTATTTACTAAAGAGAGATTTCTTAATTAGACTTTGGTGATAGTGTTTTAATTAATTAACCAATTAAATCCACATGTGTATCAGACTGTCTGGCAAGAGCAATGGGTTTCTCTTAATAGTATAATATAGTATAGCTTAATAAAGTATTTAATCAACCTTCTACAATCATTAAGTCAATACTCATTATTACCCGGCAGGGCCCGCTACCACAATACTAGGTGGAGTCTAGGACTGAAGTAGACTATTCTACACTATCCTATTACTACAGTTTTCAAGCATCTTTTTTTACTAAATTACCTTTTTGTCCTCCAGAAACTACAAAATAGTTACCCAAGCACTATCAGCAATTTAAGGACAATTTTTTCACAGAACAAACACACCCTCAGTGAAACCAGGACAGAATGACAAACACTTTGCAAGCCACAGAACACCGTTAGTTTCATCCCTACCCCAGCAGCCCTCACGCTGATGTTTAGGATGGAAAGAAGCACCAAACCAGCTTCAGATAGACAGGGCACAGCAGATGAGGAACACCAGACTAAAGCAAGACTGCAACTAAGGTGTACTTTGCAGACAGTACAGAAGGATGCTGAGGGAAGCCGCGAGTGTGGGGCAGTTGGGCAAAACACAGCTGTCCAATGAGCAATCGGAGCTGCAGAGGAGGGGCTGTGCTAAAACAAGCTGATGCCTGGACCTGGAAAAAGAGGTGTTCAAAAAGTCTCAAGCTGGGATTGAATTTGTCAAGGCTCTCCAAGCATTTGAGACCTTTCCAGCTGAACCATGAAATCCAGTGCAACAATGGACCACAGCTGCTAAAGAAAAACCCAAAACATGCTTTGCCAGCATTACAGACCAGCAGCAGAGAGCAGCGGGCTCCCTGCACGAAGCAGGGCTGCAGGGTACCTGTAGTGCCTGGTGTCCCGGATGGGTCGGTCGCTGCTGAGTTTGTCACTCTCCAGCTGGTTGAAAGCGTGCTGGCGGTAGGGGTCTTCTCCAGCCTTCAGCACCTTGGAGGACAAGTAAGCCTTCTCATCAAAGCCCCGCCGGCTGCTCTTCTCTCCCGGGGGAGCCCTCGTCATCTAGAGCAGAGACAAGCAGCAGAGCATCAGGGAGAGCAGCCCGCCCATGTTCAAACAGAGGTAGAAAGTTCAGACATTGGCACACATCTGGAAATCGCTCAGGTACAGGTGAAGGCAGGATAGTCAAAAGCTTGGAAAGGAAAGCAGGAGTCTTCACAGACAGGGTGTTAAATTGCCATCTCTGAGGAAAATTGCAGGCTTCGCTATCCTTACTGATGGAGCTTGGGATGAAAGCTGCTGTTCCTGCACAGGCAGAGCCAAATTCCCTTTAGCACATGTTACACAGAATGTGTGAGACTGCAGGCATTTGGAAACCCTTCCAGGCAATGAATGTCTGAGAGCAGTCTCCAGCCAAGGTAGCTGAGACACCATATTTCGAGGAAAAGCAGTTTCAGCCTTCCAACCATCACTACTGCACACAAACAGAGTGGCAGCTGATTTAATAGGTTCCTTGCTATGCTTTGCTCAGACTTGCCCAGTCCCACAGATGTCCTTGATATAGTTAAAAGCTGCCCATGACTGTCCCCAGCACCACCCAAGAGGTAAAAGACCAGGGCTGTCCCTCTCCTCTCCTTATTTATCTCTAACTTTCCTAGGCCACAGAGGCAGTCCAATATCAGCACCTGAAAAGCATTCACTAGGGTCATCAGGAGAGCGGACAGGCACAGCTCTGGCCCGCTCTTGGGTACCTGACTCTGTTTGGAAACAACCTACAAACTCTAAAATACTTGCTTAAAAAGCAATCAAGACTGTTTATACTATAAAAGTAGTTTAACAAATTTCCTGTGGTAGCGGTTTGATAGACTAAATCATGAAGACAAAATACTCCCAGCCTTGTAGGGAATGCTAGAGCTCTCTAAAACTGCTGCAAGAAGCAGATACTTGCACCTACACATCTCATTCAAAGCACTGGGTAATCTCCAGATCTTGAGATCCTTCTATGTAAAATAATTTGGATGCTCTCTACTACTAGGCTTGATCACTTCCTCCCTCTGCTAAAGGTCTCCTTTTAGGAATTACAGAGGGCAAGAGACCAGAGAATGGTCTTCAGTATCACACAGCATGTTGGTTGAGCCATCCTAGCGGGCTGGGAAAGAATTCAAGAGACCCAACAGCACAGCAAACTCATTAAGCAGGAGAGCGCTTAGAAGAACATTCATCTCTGCAACTTTCTCTGACAAGGGCTACCCTTCAGTGCAGACAGCCCTAGGAGAACCAAACAGTCAGATAAGATGATGGCAAATGAAATTCAGCATAAAGAAGGGCAAGACAATGAACGTTAGAAAAAATAAATTGAACTACTCATGTACATTGATGGATTTCAAATGAACCGTGACCACTCAGGCTACAAATCTGAGCATCCCTGTGGACAGCTCAAATGAAACCCTGCACTCAGTCTGCCGAGATGGGAAATGTGGCAAATTGAGTGCACTGCAAATGGGACAGAGAAAACTGAAAGCATCGTGAGCAGTTATATGGAATCAGTGGCAGCCCAGCAGCTGTGGCCAGAGCACAAGCTCTGTCAAACCTGCGTATGGAAGGAAACTATTGGAGTATGAAGAGACATTAGAGGTTAGGACTATTGCATCTGGAGAGAAGATTAATTAAGTCGAAAAAAAATGAAGGAGGCCCATGAAATTATGTCTAATACAGACAAAGTTAGCCTGATGCTCAGATTTCCCTTTCTCACAATACAAGAATGAGGCAAACACTTTCATGGGGAAAAAAAAGCTATTGTTTTCAACACTGAGAAATTCCTTCAGCCACTGCACAACCAAGCCAATGTTTATGGATCTGCCCTTGTGTAGGACAGACATTGGCACAGTCCAGTGGGTGAATCTGCCTCTGCTCTGCTCCTCCAGGCAGAGAGTGTCCTGCTCTGCCACCCCTTCTCCAGGGATGCTGCTGCCATCCCCTCTGTCCCTTGCAGCCATCACCACATCACCTGGGCATGGTGCTGGGTTACAGGAACATATTGGCTACTTTTATGGCTGGTTGCACAGCCCGCTGCCTAGAATCTTCCTTGAATTTATATTTTCAGTATGATGAGAAAAGAATTACTTCCATACCTCTAAAAACTGAAATGTTTTCTTTCCTTAATTCGTACAAGGAGTTTTGCTGAACTCAGCTTCCATTTCTCTTTTTCCTTTTGCCCTAGAAAACAATGCTGATTTGAAGCAGAAGCCCAACTTATCACACACCTTTAAATACTCATCTCTTGCCTCTCCAAGTCCCCTAAAAGCAACAGTTGGTTTTGGTTTATGTTGCCTGGAACATACTAGAAAATGCTGGAAACGACAACATATCTTCAGGAGACATTTTTTCCAGGACAGTGTGAGGGTTGGGCATCCCTATAGTGGAGAGCAGGGTCTGGCAGCCAGGGACAGTCCTACACCCCAGCCAGAAATGGGCACCAGGGCAGGGGCACCAGGGCAGCCCCACCCCCAGGAATCCCCATACCTCTCTGGGGAAGAACAGGATGAGGGCCCACCCTAACAGGACCCCTGGCTGGGCAGGACAAGGCTACTGGGAGCTGGAGACCATCCCTGCTGCAGCATCACTGGGGCATCAGCTGGAGACCCTGTGGAGACTCCTCCCAGTCCCAGGGAGTGGGCAGGGACAGGAAGGCCCTTTATTGCCATAGAAGTCATGACCTATTTAAACTTGAACTCTCAGGGGTAATTCTTCTAGATACTATGGTTCTCACATTACTTATACTTCAAAAAGTGGTAAAAGAGCACTAGGAAATGATTGTCAGTTAAGAGTTAAGTCCCACTTGCAGTTTTATCTTAGACAGTATCTCTTTGTGCTCTCTTCAAATGGGAAAAGGAAGGATTCAGAGGATGATAGCTAGGAGGGCCTGCCTTCAGCTTCCAGAAAAGCAGCTAATCGATAGACAATCAACAAGTAACTAAACATCCATCTATGAGCACCAAGAAGATAACAAGGTAATAAATTGGAGCTAACTGAGATTTGTCAAGACCCAGTCATGTCAGACCACTCTAATTTTCTTCTGTGATGGAATAATCAGGCTCAAGGGTATGGAGAAGGAGGAGACAGATGCATCATGACACTGATAATGTTTTTGGTAGGGGCTGTTAAGATGTTGTCATTAGCAAGCTAGAAAAGTAATAGTCTGGGTGAAACTACTGCAGAATGGGTGAAAGTGGTTGGAAAGCTGCTGGCAGAGCACAATTATTAGCTGTTCACTGTCAGAGCACAGGGATAAGAACAGGTCTTAGGGGTTTGTTCCAGATCCAGCACTATTCAGTATTTTCATAAATACCTTGGATTCAAACACAGTAAGTTTGTCAAATCCATAGGAAATCCAGAAAAAATGCCCGACACATTGGGTAACAGGATTATTATCTCAACACATAGAAAATATATCTGAAAACAGTAAAAGCAACTCAATTAGGGCACTGCAGAGCTTTACAGTTCACCAGGTCTGTGCTGACACAAAACATGGCAGAGACAGCACAGTAGAAACTCCTCAGAAAAGCCCTAGACATTACAGCTCATTACAAACCACACGACAGAAAAGTCAGATTAAAAAAGCAGAGCAAACACAATCCTGAGTGCAGCCTAGACAGTTATGAACTAGCCTGACAAAGTGAATATAGAGCTTATGTAAGGTCTGACTTGCTTTATCAGATTATATTCCTAGAACATAGATGTTCCACTACAGGACATTTATTGCTGTGAAATCAAATGGTACTTGACAGGGACAGCACAGGTTCTCTATGAAAACCTGCCAAACCCCGTCAGAAAGGCAGACTAATGTCTACCCTCCTCTTTCCTGTCTCCTCACCTTAATACCTCTCACTTCAGGAAGTAGTCAACATAAGCAGATATTAGCTTTAGTGTATTAAAGGCACATTATGTACAGCGGATGCAGAGTCAAGACTTTTACCATACCAACAGGACAGTTCAATCCCCTAGGTCCTTGATGTAGTTACACACCCTGCACCCCATGCTTGGGGCTGGAAATACAAGTGCAAGTTGGGGGAGCAGAAGAGCACAGTGGAAGAGTCCAGCTCCTTATGACTGCTACTCTCTGATAGATTCAAAAAAAAAAAAAAAAAAAAAAAAAAAAGAAAAAAGGGCAACCCAAAAAAAAACCACACCCCCTACATTAAAGCAGAGATAAAGATGAATAGGCACTGGAAATGTGAGTGTCTAGACTAGGGATTAGCAAACAGTTTGCACAAATTAAGTTTTGTCCCAAACATTGCTGAGACCTCCAAAAAAATTCACATATGAAAATTTCAGGAAATATTGTAAACCTTCTAATCTTATTTCACCATTTCTCATTTTCACGCATACTTTTCCCTTTCACTGACAGAATGGACTAAGATGCTCTTCTGCTGTTGAAAGCATGTTCTGATTTGTGTTTTGACATTGTTCAAGAGACCAGAAACTATTTAAATAGCAAAATTAACTTTGTAAGCGTGGGATTAAGGTAAAAGAATTAATGCCATGCATGTCTACAAAAACTTGAGAGCCTCATTTTTCGACTAGCACAGGGATATTCCTCTAGGTCTGATTCCTTGTGAAACAGCAAGACTATAATTGAGACAGTGCCACTCATCTCTGTGCATTGTCATAGTCTGCCATCAGACACAAGCACACCAGCTGCCACCTCGTGCTAACAGCCACTAAAACCAGAGCCGGGGAATTCAGGACCCCAAGGTGCATCTTTTTAACAGCAGGCTTGGCCAAATTCAAAAAGAATAACCATACTCCAGGAGTCATGAGGAACCACTACTTAATTAGAGTAAAGTATGTAAAACTCTCAAAGGTAAGTGCAATTAATCATTTTACAGTTACTGTGAAATTAGTCCAGCAGCAGTTTTATGTGACAGGACATACACTTTGCAGTTCCTGCACTTCTTACAAGCATTTAGTGCCAGTACAACAAATGGAGCAGGGGGTGCCATGCTTCTCCTTTGTTTTAAGCTCATTTTCACAATTGCCTCAGCTCTGCCAAACCACAGAAG